ACATCACTTGACCAACAATGTGAATGGATGCCGTCAGAATGAGTCGATAAATCATAATAACACTTCCTCCAGTGAAAAGTTTTATATATATATATATATATATGTTTAGAGCTGTTTTGGTCTTTTGTCACAGTGTTTATTTCTGTCTGTGCATATTTCTCTTCTGATTGAATATTTTGGATATTGAATATGGATTAATCATATTTTAGAAGCAATGGTTTGGAGTTAAAATGTCTTAATGATGGATTTGTATATTACAAACACAGTTTCTCAATTCACAAGAATGATGGACTGGAGTGGTGTGGATTATTTGTGGATTATTGTGATGTTTTTTTATCAGCTGTTTGGACTTTCATTCTGATGGCACCCATTCACTGCAGAGGATCCGTTGGTGAGAAAGTGATGAAATGCTAAATTTCTCCAAATCTGTTTCAAATAGTTTTTTGGATGGCCTGAAGTTAAGCAAATTTTAAGCAAATCTTCCTTTTTGGATGAACTAATTCTTTTACAAGACCCTAAAAACCAAACGGCTCACTCTGTCTAAAATGTACTTTTAAATGCTGTTCATCTCCATTGAATGTAAATTCTGCAAAGCTCAATAGAAATTCAGAACACCTGCACATTGTTGTTCACAGGCTCTGACTCGGCACATTCGCATGAAAGGAGACACAGTGGAGTCAGCTGGAACTCTATCTGTCATTCCATACTCTGCAACCGGATGTGATGATAGTTCTAGTGGCTGTTGCAGAAAGGACAAGACACTGAAGATATCAATTCTTCTGCACTACAGACAGAAGCAGGGCAATCAATAGACAGGTTGGTTTCGATATGAAATAACTCAGTCATACTGTACACCAGGACTGTTTAAGCGCAAGGCCTTAAAAGGATGAGGAAATGATAATCGGCTCCAGTGCTGGAGGTAATTGCTTTGATGATGTGGCACTCACAGACACACTGACCTCAGCTCCTAATCTTTAACTCCAAAGGAAAAAGCAAGAGGAGGGGGGGAAAGGAGAAAGGTGTACCACAAATGAGGAGGGAGGAATATGTAGAAAAGCAGATGAAGGTTATTCAAGAAAAGAAGGTGAAACAAGTATCATCAAGTCCAAATGATATTGTATGACATTCAGTTTTTAGGACACAATTGTAAATAAATTGAAATGTCTTTATAATTCCAGTCTTGAATGCTATTGCTCAAAACAGCATTCTAGTGACTCTGATGAGAAACATCTACACTGTTAGAAAAATGGTACAAAACTGTCAGTGAAGCAGTACTCTAAGTTACAAACGCTAAAAAGTACATCTTTTTGTTCCTAAATGGTACATTTATCAAGTCCAAATGATATTGTATGACATTCAGTTTTTAGGACACAATTGTAAATAAATTGAAATGTATTTATAATTCCAGTCTTGAATGCTATTGCTCAAAACAGCATTCTAGTGACTCTGAAGAGAAACATCTACACTGTTAGAAAAATGGTACAAATCTGTCAGTGAAGCAGTACTCTAAGTTACAAACGCTAAAAAGTACATCTTTTTGTCCCTAAATGGTACATTTTTATATTTAATTCAAGTTTATTTGTACAGCGCTTTTCACGATACAAATCATTGCAAAGCAACTTTACAGCAAATTAAGTTTCTACAATATTTAGTGGTAGCTTATCAGTGGTGACTGCCAGTCAATGTATATATGGTAGAAATGTACGGAAAAATCAATTAAAGATGTAATCAAACAGACGATGAACACTATTAACAGCAATTATTATATGATGCAATCAAACTTATAGCAAAATGTGGTAGTTCTGTATGCAATGGTACAAATTTTACATTTATGAGAATTATATAAAATTATATAAAAATGTGCAGCATGCAAAAAATGAGCAGAGTACTGTATCACACAATGCAGTGCACCTGACTTCTTATTTAAAAAGGCAACCAAATGTTAAAGCACAAAATTGCAAAATATTACAAGTCCATAATTGCACACTAAATTAAATATGATGAAGTCATGCATTTATCATGGAATAATGCATACTGTTTCCTTTTATAGTAGACAATAATAATACAGACACCCATTTCTGCTTCATGGTAAATGAGTTAATTCCACTTTATTCTCATTACCTTACAGTGTGATTTGAACTCACAACTGTGATTTTATTTCTCACAATTGCAATTTTATATATCTTAATTATGACTAATATCTCTCAGTATGTATTTACATTTCACATTTCTTTTATAGTATATCTAACAACTGCCTTTTTTCATTTTTAATCCGAGGTGATCTCTTAAAAGTAAAAGTTCTTAATTGGCATCTGTTGTTCCATGAAGAACTTTTAACATCCAAGTACTCTTAAAATTAAGTTTTTATTGGCATCTATGGTTCCATGAATAACCTTTAACATCCATGGAACCTCTGAAGGTTCTTTAAAGTGGAAAAGGTTCTTTAGATTGTTAAATGTTCTTGAATTTGAAAAAAAATGACTGGAAAAATTGTTCTTTTAAGAACTGTTCTCTGAAAAGTTCTTTGGGGAACCAAAAATGGTTCTTCTATGG